GGGAAAAGCACTATTTTTCGTAACGAACTGATTTCTGCGGAAAAGGAAGAGAGTTACGAAAAATAGTGTTTCCCAACGTGTTTCACACAATATTTTTTCTAATTTTGACCATGTGATCCTGGTTTAATTCAAGTTAAAAATATAAAAATCATAATACTTCGAAGAATTATGTCTAATTGTCAAGCGTCAGGTACCTACGTTCAGAGATGTTTATTTGTTAAGTATTATTTCGTTTTTCGTTGCTACAGAAGCAATAGTGTCCATAGAGGTGTCAAGTCTGCGTCTCTAATTTTTGAAAAAGTCAAAAAATTTACTTAATATTGTTCTTATATAAGCCACTCAAACTTTGTAGAGTAAAAGAATAATTATTATTAGATTCTAATGACCATCAATTCAAGAAGCGACGTACCGAGTGACATTGAGGAGTCGGCTCAATCTGCTTTGTCTACAATAAATTATTCCTAAGAAGTCAAAAAGCAAATATGATTTGGCCCTATGTCTAGTTCATGGTCAAATTAAATTTCCATATGTACCTACAAAGAATATTATAACAATACTTCAAGTAGTTTAGCGTTAAAATTATCATAAATCTTATTTCTGAATTTTTCGCAACTGATGGTGAAATTTACTTTTCATCACCAGTTGCGAAAAATTTTACTTAACGTAACTGGTGATGAAAAGTAAGACATTTGATAACGTCAACGAGTTTTGAAAAGTGTCACTTTAAATGTCAAAATTAGAAAAAATACTTTAAAAAGAAAACAAGAGAAAAATTTATCGCATATAGGTACTTCAAAAATTGATAGAAATACAGACAACTTAGAGCAGGCGAAGCGCTGTCCTACGGACATAAGGAGTAGGAACGCGCCATTCTGCTATGAAACCACCGGCGTATCCAGCCCATGCTCTGGGGGGGGGGGGGGGGGGTAATCAGCCCATTTTTTCCCGGGTGCCACGCCCAAAAACGTTTACTTTGAGCCTTCAAAAAAAAATTTTTCTACGAGAGTGAGGACAATTAAACAGTGCGGAAAATCGATTTTCTCGCACGGTGCGGCGAATTTTTTTCCGTACGGATATCGGTGCGGAAAAATCTAAATCTTTTCCTCATAGCTGTCAAAAAAAAAATCAATAAATGACTACAAATTATGTAGGTATATGCAAGGCAGTGTTGTCAATCTGAATTTGTGAAATTGCACGATATGCTGGTAAAATTACACGTTTTTACACGCTTTCATTTTTCACAATTACACGATTTTGACACACGATCTTGGTACCCAATCTGTAACATCAAGAAGCAAGTATTTTTTTTTGTGATTTTGGGAAATGGGTTAAATCGTTAATGCCCGATTGCACCGTCTCTCTTAACCGAGGCTAAGAGATAACTATTCCTTAAAGTGACATTTTCCCATGCAAAACTGTCAATTTAAGGGATAGTTATCGTTAAGCCTCAGTTACGAGAGATGGTGCAATCGGGCATAAATCCAGTCAAATCTGAGGGTTAATGCTCCTAATCATAATTCCTCAACGAAAAATAAAAATGTGGCAACTACAGAAAAGCGTTCCGAAAGTAATCGAATTACTAATTACTGGTTCCTGGAAAAGAGGTTACTTTTGGACCTCAGTTTCCTGCAAGGATACTACACACTACTACTATAGGATAGTCTATCCTCATAAGGCCTGTGTAGTTCAATCTGAAGCCGCCGCTGCCATGCCAAAATATCAGTGATGACGTAGACAGCGTGTCGTTTCTCTTCTTCACGTAGGGTGTTTGTACCACAGGTTATGATTCCGCGGGCTTTTCCTTTATGCAAAACTTGGTTTCACTACATTAATTATTATTCTGAAACAACTCTTTCTCGTTTTTGGTAATCGCCGCCATATTGGTTTTCAACTGTTTTCAACCATTGTCGACGTCATAACTAAGTTTTCAGCTGTTTAAACAGCCTACGTCAAGGCGAGAAATGCCATGCTGCTTACGACACAACTGGTTGTTTGGCTAAGGGGGGTAGAGGGGGATTTTTTACAAACAGGCCTTATGAGGATAAGCCATCCTGTAGTAGTAGTAGTGTGTATCATCCTTGGGTATATGTACCTACTTATTTCCGCACGTCTGTAAAAAAACTATTGTACCTAACACATGCGGAAAATCTGTCTTCCGAACTTGGCTGCTTCACCGAATTCCGCTACGCGTCTTTGGGTGAACGACAGACTCGTGCGGAAAAATTCATTTTTCGCACTTGTTAGGTAAATATATTCTGTACTACCAACAAATAACGAAACCGAACTCTGATAGCGAATTCCATTGGAATAAAGGTTAGTGCGCACCGAGTGTATTCGTATCTTATTCTACCAGCTTATATAAGAAAGAGATAAAAATACACTCTTTCGCACTGATTTTACCAATGGAATTCGCCATGAGAATCGCCTAAAACTTTTCAATTATAGGCATAGCGAATTCTATTGGTAGGATTAATACAAAAAATTTATTTATCTCTTTCTTATGCAAGCTAGTAGAGAAAGATATGAATACACTCAGTGTGCACTATCCATTTGAATAGAATTCGCTATAAATGGCATGCGGGCAGTGCGGACACTGTGCAAACTAGAAAACAAGTTAGAGCCAGTTGCTGAAAAGTAAAAATATAAAAAATAGATTTATTTGTAAGGTGTAGGGTACATTTTTTTCGTCCATCGTAACGATCTTGGGGGGGGGTAATTACCCCCATTACCCCCCCCCCCCCCTTGTATACGCCGGTGTATGAAACTAGAGTGAAGCCAGTTTTTGGCAGGTGTTTGTACACCAAACGACAGGTAAAGCATTGAATTGCCTTAACCGCCATTATTTTGGATCTCAAAGTACCTGGAAAAAACCGGCTTCAAATTCCAACTTCATATTCCTACTCCTCTCACCTAGGAAATTACCTGCTCTAAGACAGACAATAAAAAAATCGGGGAAAAACTAAGAAAATTCTCAGGAAACTACACCAAGGAAGAATTTAAAATAACACCCAACCACATAAGAGAGCAATTATTGTATAGAATGTCAATAATAGACATAAACTCTGGAATCATCCTGGCAAACGAACGGAACACAAGAAACATCAAAAATTCAAAACAAACGAATTAAATCTAGCCTCAAGCCGGAAAAAAAAGATACTGCCACAGGAATAGAAAAAATGTCATACTCAATGATCAGCAACCTCCCGTACAATGCAAAGCAGATACTTTTGAAAAAATATAACCAGATCCTAGAAGGCGACAATCTCCCACCATCATGATGGAACTTATTTTTGAAATTTGAGATCTTAGACAAGGAAAGAGAGGGGACTCGTAACACAGCAGGTGAAAATTGAAGCAGTTTGTCACCAAAAAATGTCTGCTTTTTTCATAACATAACCTAGAAAGCATATTGTTTTTTGCCTGTTAAATGTAATCCCGTCGACTTTTTTTTCTTTGCGGGTTTTGCAGCCATACGCTAGCAATCCACCATGCTGAATATCACAAAAATGTTAGTCTGAAGTAAAATTCACATAGTGGCACCATGAAAAATTGTCGCCATTATTTGGTGACAAGCGGTCACAACCAGCTGCTAGTGCAGGTAAAGGATGTTACGCGTCCTCTCTCTTTCCTTGTTTAAGTTTGATATAGTGTCAGTTATGGTGAGAATATCTACTATTTTACAAATACAATATGCATTCGAGTTGATTGTCACCATAGACAACGGAAGTAAAAGATTTTCACCTCCGCTCGTGAGCGGAAGTAAAAGTCTTTTACCTCCGTTCGAGAATATTTGCCCAACGCAAAGATTGATATTTTGTCACCTAGTTGGTGGATTGTTCGGTAACATCATTAATATTTGAGAAAATTCCATTTTTTCTATTATTCAGACAGGTTTAAAGAAAAAATATTATGTTCTATTCAGTGTGAAGGCTACTTTTGTGACGAGTCTGTAAGTTTGCCTGCCGAACGCAGTGAGGCCAGCAATACAGACGAGTATTACTTATACTCTTAATAAAACAATATACTATTATAACTTTGTTTTTTTTTTCAACTAAGAACGTAGATTATATCGAAGAACAAAGTTTATAGCAGAGTATTTCCGTCAAATTCAGGCATTTGTGAAATACTTAACTGTAGTAAGTTTTAAAAAACATCATATACTGTCACCAAATCGACTTATAGAGACCCGGGGCTCAAGCCCCCCCAAAACCAACAAGCTAGTTGCGCCCCTGAAGAGAATCCTGGAGGAGATTCTGCGAGAAGATGACTGTTGACTAATGTCAGCTACAAATTTGGTCACATTCCCACCAGTTGGCTGTGAATGTGGTTTTCATTCCAAAGGCTGGTAGGCACCCTACAGTACAGCCTAAATCATTCAGACCAATTAGCCTATCCTCATTTCTCCTAAAAACCAAGAGTGAATTTTTTATGGAATGTCGGTCCAAAAGAATCGATTTGTCTGTCAACCAGGTAAATCAACTGAGACAACCCTGCACAGTTCTGTGTAGTTTTGTTCTGTCACCAAGTCCAGACTGGTATGAGACTGCCAACAACTCCTGAAGCAACTGACTCACAATAGAATTACCCTGTCATTGGTACCAAGGCACCAAGGAGTTGAGGCCAATGAAATAGCGGACCAACTTACAAGACGAGAAGCTGCAACACCATTTCTTGGATCAGAACCTTTCTTTGGCATTACGAAAAGATATATAATAATAGAGGAAGTCCAGAATTGGATAATAAAGACTAAACAAGCCTTTAGGTCAAACACGCTTCCAGGACTTAGAAAGGCTGCATGCGCATCCTACTATCAAAGTTGTCAGTTGTAGCAACTGCATATCCAAAGGAGGCGCGAAATTCGAATATCCAAAATTCACGATTTTGTAAATGTCTTCGTTTTTGATTCCTCAATGATATTCTTCATTTTTCTATTTGCGATAATAATAGAATATTATGTGAGTTGCTGATGGATGCGCTAAAAGTAACAGTGAATGAAAATCTCAATTAAACTTTTCATTTATTACAAAAAGAAACATACAAAATATTATTTCACAGTTGCACAATAAGCAAATTTTGGTTCCTAAATTTCAACTAATTGTCCGTCTCCAACCGTAAAGGTCTCAACTTTCCTTGATCGGCCATGATACAGGCTGCATCGTTGTTTCCTCCGCAATATCTCGAAGACGAGAAGACCGTCAAAAGTTTGCCTTTTTGTTGGACCTAAAAAAGGTATTTAGATAAATTTATCAAACATTCTCGAATCTCACGTGAAAGCCTGCCTGTGCAACCTCGTGAGCTCTAATTAAATGGCTAAGCTGATTGGCTCTCAGAAACCTTTCCAAAGCTTCGACGCTGAATATATGAGCAGTACCACGTCTGGTATTCACCGCGAATCCTTCGTTAGCCAAAAGCTCCATTGCTAATTTATCATTTACGGTTTTTGGTCTAAAAGCAATTATTTCAGAGAAAATAGAGCTGTTTTTGTAGGCAGTTTTTTAACTATGAGGACTTTTTTTCTAGTTGAACCTGATTGACTTTCTAATTCCTGAGTAATTATAGTTCGGAAACTCACCTTACAGGATCGTTCCACATTATTTCCCAAGCCAAAGAGCTTTGACTATCTGGTTGACTGAGGACTACGGGAATTTCGTTTATTGCAGATAACACTGGACATAACCAGGGTGGAGGTGCTCCGCCATGACAACAAAATATCTAAAAATTGATAATAACTGATTTTAGAGTTCTATGAAGTTGCTTTAGGACAGGTTTTGGAATATTTTTTGTTTCATTGTTAGTTTTGGTTGTAGATGGATGCGGTTTTCGTCAACCACTTTTCTCAAACAATAAAGCTTTCAACAAAATGTACTAATGGATGACTTCCATCGTGTTGCAATCAAAATATAATCGATTTGATTGCCATATTGTCCGCCTGGTGAGACCCAGGTAGGTATAGTCCAACAAATACCATTTTTAACTCACGTGATTTTTCTCTATCCTTGTTGAATGTATCTCAAATAGCGGTGATAGTAAAATTGACAAAAAAATTATTGTCTAATTATTGTTCATAAAATTCTTACCTGAAATAGAATCCGTCACTGTCATCAATTAGTTTGTCAAAGTTATTTTCAAAAATAATACAACGAACAAACACAGCTAATAATTTTGACTATATTAACCTTTTTCCAACTCGAAAAGAAGCAAATAGAAAACGGGTACCCAATTCAAGTTCAGAATGTATTACAAGGGGCAGCAGAAGCGACAAAAGTGAGTCTCGCGACAATTGCAAGTATTAAAATTCCCATCTGATTGGTCAATACTACTTCAGAAACGCGTTTGTGAAATGCTAGTGGGAACATATCTTAAAATTCAATAGTAATTAACCACCAGTAGCTCTTTGTAGGTGATATCAACGACATAATCAATGAACATACGTTTTTTGCCACCAATAAGTCTGTTCGCAGAGAAATTACAAACCAGTCAGAGTGAATCTCATTGGTTGAAACTAGTTTTCTGACTGTTTCTGATTGTTTTCAACCAATGAAATGCGCTCTGACTGGTTTGTGATTGCTGTGCGAACAGGCCTAATATCACGTGACTTTAAAATGGTATTTGTCGGACTAGTCCAACAAATACCATGTTAAAGTCACGTGATTTTTCTCTATCCTTGTTAAATACATCTCAAACAGCGGTGATAGTAAAATTGACAAAAAAATTGCTGTCTAATTATTGTTCATAATATTCTTACCTGAAATAGAATCCGTCACTGTCATCAATTAGTTTGTCAAAGTTATTTTCGAAAATAATACAACGAACAAACACAGCTAATAATTTTGACTATATTAACCTTTTTCCAACTCGAAAAGAAGCAAATAGAAAACGGGTACCCAGTTTAAGTTCAGAATGTATTACAACAGACAGCAGATGCGACAAAAGTGAGTCTCGCAACAATTGCAAATATTAAAATTGCCCTCTGATTGCTCAATACTACTTCAGAAACGCGTTTGTAAAATGCTAGTGGGAACATATCCTAAAATTCAATAGTAATTAACCACCAGTAGCTTTTTGTAGGTGATATCAACGACATACGTTTTTTGCCACCAGTATCACGTGACTTTAAAATGGTATTTGTCGGACTATATCAAGTCGGTAAATTTTTGTTGTAAAGCAGTTTTAATTTTTGCTAGAAAATCTTCCGCTGCACCGATTATTTTTGATTTTATAGCAAAAATAACATTCCTGTTGTGATAGGTCCGAAATACCTATGTGTATACGCGTTTGCGTTCCATGAAAAGTTTATAAAATACATTTTTACAACGGATTTTAATGCATTAGCCATGATATCAAAGTCTGGAATTTCCAATTCTAAAAATTCATTGAAATCAATAGGTTGTTCTAAATCGATTCTAAAATTATTTAAAATATCTTCTGGAATATTTCAAAGATTCTGATAAGAGATTTCAGAATATAATTCAGTTAATTCGTTTGTTGAAAGGCTGTTATTTCTTGAATTATTTCTTCCTGTTCTAGATTATGGTGCGTTTGATGATTTTCCATTAATTTCTACATTAAAGTTTAAACGTACTTAAGACAAATGACACTGGCATTCCAAAAAGAACATTGGTAATTCAAAACGACACCTTAGGACTATAACTTATTTCGATCTTCGTACTCAAAAAGAATCTTTTTACGTGATCCGGAAAAGATCCTACCGACTGCGCCAGTTTCATTTGATGTAATGAAACTTGTATTTATAAAAATTAATAATTATTTTATTTAATACATCAAATTACATTGATTTTGCTACTACAAAGCTTACTCAAGAACGAAGAACTGAATTTTTTGTTGAATCTAACAAGTATATCCTGTTCACAATCCGATGTCTATAGGAGCAGGCAATTTATCACCTTTCCCTATCAAATAGCATTGAAAGGTGATAAATTTTACCGGTACCAGTGGATATCGGATTGTGAACGGATAATATAACAAATTTTTCGCTTTTTAACCAGTGGCGACGCGTGACTTGCAGTCTGGGGGGGGGGGTAATGTAATGGGAAGATGCGACCCCCCGCTAACGCGCCGCAGGCGAAATTTTTTGCCAATTTCAAGGTCATTCACTTTTCCAGAACAATAATTTCCTTTGTGAGGAAAATAAAACAAAAAAAAATGTATTTTCTTTAATATTATTATGTATTTTCTTTTGGGCATTGTAATTTTTCCCTTGAATTTTGGATCCTGGGGGGGATAATTACCCCCATTACCCCCCCCCCCCCCCCCCGACGCGACGCCCCTGTTTTTAACTTACCTTACCATCAATTGTAGCGGCAATCGGCATAGTGTCAAAGGCATTATTCACAGCATTCCAAACCTCGTTGCCCAACTTATCGCCCAATTTCAAACAACATTCCCTTCAAAAAAAAAAAACCGTAGAAATTACTTTGCAATTCCATTTATCATTTACATACTTATAAAACGTGAACATTTTTTGCACTTCTCTAATTTCGTGATTTCCTCGCAACAGAGAAACTTTATTGGGACTTTGTAGTTTATAGGACAACAAATAAGAGATCACTTCGATACTAAATGAACCTCTATCTACGTAATCTCCTAGGAAAAGTAAATTGCATGGACAAAGACCTGGACCTATATGCCACAGAGTCCTTTCGAAGCAAAGAAGATCGGCTATGTTACCGTGAAAATCCCCTACAAAGATGAAATGATTATTTGAAGTCTTGATATAAAAAATTATTCTCACCTAAAATATACACCGGAGACGACAACTCCAAAAGTCTAGGCTCGCCTCTGAAAATCTCCCTAACCTGATTGGAAACCTGGATCAGATTTTTGGCATAAGTGACAGGATCTAATTGGCCCCACGTATACGAAGTTTTGGCATCGGTTATATTATTGATCGTCGTCAAATATCTGAGGCCTTTTAGGACTTCGTTGGACACTGAACGTTGACTGAAAATGTCCAACGATAGTCTTTTGTTGTATTCGTTGGTTGATTGTTTGATGGTTGTCAGCGAAACTGCTTCTGCGACCTACAAAAAAAATGTCTTATGAAAAGTTACCAGAAGTTGCAACTAGTTTATAATTTTCAATAAGCAAATTGATTACCTCTTTCATTTCGTCAATGTTAATGGCATGCCCGCTCCTTTGTATTTTCACTGTATGAATGGCAATATCATAATCTGGATTTTTCGCAGAAGCTTTTCCATTTTGCTGGGCTACTTGCATGCTCAATACTACTGGAGCGGTGACTTTTGCTTGCTCTGACAAGCCTAATTTTTCACTGCAAATAAGGATTTTGAAATTGAAATCATTCGACAGTAGTACGATATAATTTAAAAAAAGATTGTCACGCCTATAGCAATTTTTAATTTAAGAAAAAATCGTCTTTGAGGTGTCTTATTCACCCTAGGAAGCATTTTCGGACCCATGTTAATAGGACCTGCAAGGATTACGCTTCCAAAAAGACGCCGCTTACTTTCGAATCACCCTGTATATGAACCTCCCAATATACACATAGATTCAAAAGTTTTGCATCACCTTGTATTTAAACGAAAAAAAAATTTAGCGGCAGCAATTTTTTTTAGGTTTGTTTATCAATGTTTATCTTCCTAAATAGTCGCATATTTGTTGCCCGAAAAAAATGTTTACAATTTTTTTTGTAAGTTCACATTTTTGGTGCGACTAGTTCTAGAGTCAAGACAGTTGAATTTTACGAATTCACGCGCAAAGATGCCTCGACAAGACATAAGTGAGATTGATCGTGCAAGAATAGTGGCTTTAATTGAAGAAGGTCATTCTCAAAGGTTCGTGGCTAATAGAGTTGGTGTTTGTCAAAGTGATGTGTCTCGCACCTGGAATCGCTATCTCCAGAATAATTCTCTTCGTGATAGACCCAGAAGCGGTAGAAGACGTGTCACTAATCAACAACAGAACCGTTATATTCACTTAACCATCCGAAGAAACCCGACCATGGCAATACCAGCACTCCAAAGAGATATGCGTCATGCCTTGGGAGTTCAAATATCGGTCTCTACATTGCGGAGACGAATACTCGCGACAGGTTTAAGGTGTCGTCGACCACTTAGAGTACCTCGACTGCAACCAGAGCACAAAGTTCGTCGGCTACATTGGGCTCACGAGCACGTGGCTTTACCTGCAGAATTTTGGAACTCGGTGTTTTTTTCTGACGAAACAAGAATTTGTTTGGTGCAAGTTAGTCGTCGCATACGTGTATGGAGAGAGCCAACAAGAGCTGCCCAGCTTGCTCATGCACGCCCCAAGCCACCCTTTGCAGGAGGAAGTGCTATGTTCTGGGCTGCTATCATGTCTAATGGTCGCCCGGAATTAATTTATGTTCAGGGCACAATGACTGGAGACAGATACATGAGAGAGATTCTAGATCCTTACGTCAGACTATGGCGAGGAGCAGTTGGTGATGCTTTCGTTTTTATGGACGATAGCGCCCGACCCTACCGTACCAGAGCTGTAAATGAGTATCTGGAAACGCAAGGCATCAATCGTTTGGACTGGCCCGCACTATCGCAGACATGAATCCCATAGAACATGCTTGGGACATGCTTGCCAGGGCAGTGGCAGCCCGCAGAAAACCACCCAGGACTCTACAAGAGCTTGTTCATGCTGCTCAGGAAGAATGGCTAAATATTCCTCAACAACATATCATCAATCTGATAGACAGCATGGGCAGGCGTCTCCAGGCTTGCATAAATGCTAGAGGTGGAAATACCCAATATTAAAGGTTTTACAGTGCTGTGGAGAACGTGATCGAAGCAGCTGTGTTTTCTCCTCCGCGCAAACGATACTAAATTTTGTGTGGGATTCTTTAAATTCCTTGGGTTTATTCAACTCTATCTTTGGTAAGTCGACATTTAGCTTGTCTTGAACTTCATCCGCTATATTTTATTGGGAAAAACTAGTAAAATATGGCGGATATTGACGACCCCGGAGGGGGTCTAGATCCTCCAGAAAAACGTTTTAAATCTAATTCAAACACGAATGAGGGACCATCCTCGTCGACCTTGACTAATTCTACTGCCGATAAGCGAAATGAAAAAATGCCTAAATTTTATAGTCCAACTGATAAAGGACCGTTTGTAGTTTTTATTGAATCAACCGAAAAATCTGGGAATAATATCGGTAAATTTAATGATCTGAAAATAGCAAAAGAAATTTTTAATTTAAAATTAAACAACATTAAAAATATCAACAATAAAGGTTTGAATAGACTTTCTATTGAGTTTGACGACTATAGAACAGCAAATGAATTTACAGAAAACATTTTCTTAAAAAACAAAGGGTATTCAATCTATGTACCTTATAACTTTGTTACTTGCAAAGGCATTGTCAGGCAGGTCCACAAGGATATTCCCTTAGCAGAAATAATGGAAGCAATTAATTCTCCTTTTGAGATTATGGATATTATTAGACTTAATCGCAAAATCCTTTCAAAAAAAGGTGAAAATAAAACTGAAGTAGAATATGAGCCAACCACTACCATTTTAATCACCTTCAAAGGGATAATATTACCTAAATACATAGGCATTTACAGGCTGAAGAAAAATGTTTCACCTTATGTAGCTCCGGTTACACAATGCTACAATTGCTTACTCTATGGCCACACAAAAAAATTATGTAAAAATAAAACAAAAAAATGTTTCAATTGTGGGGAAGAGGATACTCATTCCATATTAAACGAGGATCAAACAATTAGTTATTCTTGCACATCCAAATGTTTACATTGCAAAAGTGAAGAACACAGAACTACGTCAAAACTTTGTCCCGAATTTAACCGTCAAAGAGACATCAAAAGATTAATAGCATTCGAAAATATAACCTTCTTTGATGCTTCTAGATTATGCCCCAAACCGTACGCCCCAAATGAATTTTTACCTCACCCTCAAGAATTCCCTGAACTTCCCACCTCTTCTAATAACAACCAAGAAACAAATGCTATTCTCCCTTCTCAGAGGAGAAATGTCAATTTTAAAGAAGGACTTAACCCCAGATATAACCAAGTAGCATCTACAATTCAGAATAGGAAAAAACCTCAAGGAGGATTTGACAGGGCTTCCCATAACGAAGCTCTTCTGTTCCCCAATTCACGTATTCCTAATCAAGATAACAAAAACAAATCACAATATAATACCCAACACCTAACTCAAATGAACCAAAACAGTAATACAAGTACCAATTTATTGTCACCAAACACCCAAATGCCTTATAGTGCCTCTTACAATAACTTTCAAATCTTAGATTCATTAGTAAAAACTTTACCCATAAATACAGTTAATCATTTGATTGACTATATTCGTTCTATAAATTCAGGTCCCCAAATGAAAATGGACTATTCCTTAACTTAACGTCTTCAATATAATAAAACAAAAAACTTTAAAAAAATTTAAAATTCTTCAATGGAATATAAGAAGTGTCTTCCCAAACAAAGGAGACCTAACTAATTTAATTAAGGAAATTAACCCTAATGTAATATTGTTAAACGAAACATGGCTGAAGTCTGAACAAACATTTATTCTGAACTCATATAAAATCATCAGACAAGACCGCATTGATGGTTATGGTGGAATTGCCACCTGCGTAAAAAATAATATAGACTTTTCAGTAGTCAAAAATAAAGCACCCATAGTAGAAGATCGTTTACAGTTTAATATTGTTAAGGTTGCAAATATCAATATAATTAATGTCTACTGTCCACCACAAATTAATCTTGACAGAGCTGATATGAACCTTATTTATGACAACTTGGAGGGCCCCTGCATTCTTATGGGGGATTTAAATGCCTTACATCGTTCCTGGAACGGCTCAACCACAAACCACAATGGTAAAACATTGATTGAATTTCTGGATGAAAAAGATTTTATATTAATTAGCAATGGCACCCCCACGAGCTTCCATCTTAATACCCAAAATCCCCTCGACATCACTGTCATAGATCCCTTATTGGCCTCAACAGCTAAATGGAGTGTCTTGTCTGATTGCGCAAACTCTGACCATTTTCCCACATTAATTGAATTCAATTCTACGCCGGAAATGGATAGAAATTTAAATTTTAGACCCTATCAAGTAAGAAGCTTCAATAGGGCAGATTGGAATCGGTTCTATGACCTCTCAATTGTAAATGCAGCAGGACTTGCCGAACATGAAATAGACTATACAAAATTTAATCAAATCTTGGACTCCTCAGCTACAGAGGCTATTCCATATAAAACAATTAACAACAATAACTCCAAAATAAACAACCCTTGGTGGGATGATGAATGTTCCTTATTAGTCAGCAGAAGAAAGTTAGCTTTGCAGAATTTTAAAAACAAACCAGATTTGATCAACTATCTACAGGCAAAAAAAATTATAGCGGCTACAAAAAGGGCACTTAAAAATAAAAAGAAAAAAAAGTTTATAGATTTTTGTGGGTCATTAAACAGAAATTCAGACTTGGGCTATGTTTGGAACAAAGTCAAGACATTTTCTGGATCACGTTCAAAAGCATATACACAGGATATTTCAGACTGTTTACGGCAGAATCTTCTTGATAACATGGCAATAACATCAGCGAGTGTTGATTTTACACCCCAGCAGTCGTTGCAGAATGAGATCAAACTATTCACGATTGAAGAATTACAAACGGCTATCAAAAATAAAAAACACTCAGCGACAGGAATGGACGAGATTTCCTACCTAATGCTGAAAAACATTTCTACTAAACTTCAATTGAGCCTTCTAGGAATATATAACCAAATTTTAATGGGGGGACATATTCCACAATCTTGGAAACAATATAACATTTTTTTCCTCTTGAAACCAAACAAAAATCCTCTACTGCTAGATAGCTACCGACCTATCGTACTGGCTTCATGCTTACTGAAAACCCTAGAAATTATAATCAAAAATAAGATTGAATGGTTCCTGGAAAGTAAAATGTACTTTCCATGGACTCAAACGGGCTTTAGAAAGGGCCAAGGTACTCAAAATGCCCAAGCCCTTCTAATAACAGAGACCAATTTAGCATTTGGGGAGAATCTCTCAATACTTGCTGTTTTTCTTGATATCAAGGCTGCCTATGATCACGTTAACATTTTTAAACTTTATAACAAATTATTAGAAGCCAAAATTCCAATTGAACTCACAAATTTAATTCTCAAAATTTTATCTGACCGCATACTTTTTTCAAAAAATAGAAATGGAGAATTTTTGGGCCCCTCATTAGTTAATACAGGTATTCCGCAGGGATCACCCTTGAGTACTTTACTC